AGAACTGACCAGTGCCAAATCTGCAGAACTTCTATTGTGTTTGTTTATTGTTCATTTACAGATCCTCTTTTATAGCACATCCTAAAGACATCCTTTATGGGGAATTAAACGCAGTTAGAAGATGCCGAGGCCGATCTCTACTACGGTATAAAGATGTGTGCAGGCGGGACATGAATGATACAGGTATTGAGATGGACTCATTGGGGGGGGGGGAATGTCATGGACCGTGTTGTGTGGAAAGGGCATATCGGGAAGGGAATAATAGTGAAGTAAGAAAAATTTGCAGAAAAAACGAGAGCTGAGCGTATGAAAAGAAACGGGTTAAACACACATCTTGACAACAATGGTCCTGAAATTCCATGCTATGATTGTAAAAGACTTTTCTTGACACTGGCGGGTCTTGCTAGTCACACTCGCCATCGCCATGGGCTGTGAGTCCAATGACTCCTCATAGCGCAATATAACACTATCGTCTGCAAAGTCGGAAAGGTGCCATTCATCCAGTTACATCTGGTTACGATCTCTTTTCTGAGTGTGTCTTTAAGTGTTTTCAGGCTAACTTCAGTTCTGGTTGATGTAACAACGCGTGGCTCCCGTGTGGTTTTCCTGTCTCTCGGCTCTAGCTGGTACACCCACGACCGGCTCCAGCTGACGGGCCGTGCTGCTGACGTCACCGGGTCGGGCTAACGACGCGTTAACACAGCGGTTCTTAAACAAGAAATAAACTATTTTCGACAGCGGCGAGGAAAGACAACTTACATATTAACTTTTAAGTGCCTACATGCCTTCTTTAATAATTTCACAATTTTTCTTGTTTATTGCCGTGGCACCCCTGGCATACGGGCGCCTCGGTACCCAGTTTGAGAAACGCTGCGTTATTGCATCGTTAGCCCGACCCGGTGAGGTCAGCAGCACGGCCCGTCAGCTAGAGTCGGTCGCGGTACACCCAGGATGTGCAGTCTATTCAGTGAGAAATATAATGTCCACGAAACTGAGTCTCACAGCATTTAGTCTCTCGTATGTTTTGGATAATATATCTCCTATCCATGGATGGCCTAAATTTCTGATAGTCGCACTGCCAGCCAGAGCGTTTGCTCTCTCATTGTCTTTCACACCAGCATTCCTTGAGACAAAAATGAAGGTGATTTTACGAAATGCTGCGCGCTGAATAAAGCCACTTTTTCCGTATATGCCCCGCTTTGATCTTATGTAGCTTGCTCAATGAGTCCCTGACAAAGCATGCATTGGTGATTGCAAAAACCACGCCCTTCTCTAATTATTCTATTATAAAAATTTGGAGCTGGCCGTGGCAAAAACATAACATAAAGTGTTAGATGGATGCACCGAATCAAACCCGAAAACGATAGGCAGCTAAGGCCAGGGATGTAGTTCGTCCTCTCCATACCACAATGTCCTTTTCTAATTTTCTAGAGGTCGGAGCTGATTGGATTTAGGCCTTGTTTCAACCTTTTTCTTCTTCTTTGTTCACCGGCTCTGCGCTCCGGTAGAAATTCCTGGGTGTTCGTCCATTTAGACTTTGTTTTGTGCCAGGGCCTAAGTTCTTACATCCGTTTAACTGTCTTATTTGTGTGCTGTTAGCTGGGACAGATGCACTCCGTCTTCGAAGAAAGATCCCAGTTAGTCGACTCCTACGACATGCTTTTTTTTTAGTAGCCAGTGGGTGTATTCTTGCTCCTGCTTCCACAATGTGGCTCTGGAACCTACACGGGGGTGACCTTATTTCTTCTTCTTTGCGTTTGGTTTCGTATTCTCAGATCACACCACTAGGTTGGCTGCCTCCCACGAACTCTCAGGTCAGCAGAAGGCCCCCCATGTTTCCACACAGCTCGCTCTTGTGGCTATGTGTCCCTTTAAGTACGCGTACATTATTATTAATGATAATACTGTCATTGTTATTATTATTATTCACGAAAGATACCGGCACTCTTCATAGAGTGTCATAGAAAAGGTGCCGGTAATCACCAAAAGTCTATAATGTAGCAATTCTGGAAAAATTACGACTACACAGACGTGCCCCTGCTACGAACCACCAGATAAAAGCAACGATTGTTATTATTGTATTGAGGGCTGGTAAATATACATATATATATATATATATACATATATATATATATATATATATATATATATATATATATCATAATAAATTTGAAATAATATGAAATGTATAAAGAGATACTATAACATAGAACGTCAGTTGAGTTGAGTTAAGTCAAGAATTGACATCACAGAACTCGGGAAATTCCCATGCATGCTCCGTCATCATCTTCAGCAGCCAGCGCAGAGTTCCAGTACTGATGGTACCGGTCATAATCTGGTTATAGAACGTCTATAATGGTAGGTGAGGGAGGGGGAGGAAACTTAGTCGACTTGTACATTTTATGAATTACTGGGAAAAGGTCCCATTCACGCCCTCCCACATGCATCGTCATCATCAACATTAGGTGCCTTTCTGACTGGCGTGGGGGATCAGTCCTCTCCACAATCTGCGATCTCCTGCAGCATGTATCAGTTCATGTGCCGACACACCTCCATGCCATGCAACAAGACTGTCAAGCATCTTCTCTCGTTGTCTTCCTCTATCCTTCCTTCCACAGATCATTCCAGTGGTCACAACATGTTCTATTTTTCCTTTTCTCATAACATAGTCAAAAAATGATGACTGCCTCCTTCTGATGTCTGTGATGAGTTGTTTTCGGGCTCCCGCCTCTTTCAAAATCTCTTGGTTGCACTTTTTTTCACCAGCTGTCCAAGGTATTCTAAGCATTCTTCTGTAAAACCACATCTCTGAGGCTTCAAGAAATTGTTTGGCCTGCCTACTGATTGTCATCATTCCTCCCACATGCATCGACACTTTTCCCCTTAAAGTTTGCGGGAAAGGGAGCTCAATTACTTTGAGCTACAAGCTTCAAGCGCCTATGCACGAATGCATATCATGCCCACTACACAAGCTCTCCAACAGATAGCAAACAGTTTATCTACTACACACATTCAAGTAATTGAAATATAGCCAACAAGCAAATTCAGGAGAACCGCACACAAACAATCGCTGACACAGATCTCCCATAGCCACACTAGTGAAGCTGCCTCACTCTCTCATACACGCAGTCTGTGTTAGCTAGGAGTGCAGTAGGATCTTCTCCGAGTCAGTACTGTTGGTGAGTCATTTTTGTATGTCTGTGTTTCTGAGGGTCGGTTTCTCTGTTTGTCTTACTGTCTCTCTGTCTCTCTCTGCTTTTCTCTCTCTCTCTCTCTCTCTCTCTCTCTCTCTCTCTCTCTCTCTCTCTCTCTCTCTCTCTCTCTCTCTCTCTCTTTCTCTTTCATACATCCATTTTGTGTTAGCTCGGAGTGCAGCAGGACCTTCCCCGAGTCAGTACTGTTGGTGAGTAAATTCTTTATGTCTGTATGTCCGAGGGTCTGTATCTGTTTCTGTCTGTCTTACTGTCTCTCTGTCTTCTCTCTCTTCTCTCTCTCTCTTCTCTCTCTCTCTTCTCTCTCTCTCTTCTCTCTCTCTCTCTCTCTCTCTCTCTCTTTTTTTCTCTTTCTCATTCTCATACATCCAGCCTGCATTAGCTAGGAGTGCAGTAGGACTTTCTCGGAGTCAGTACTGTTGGTGATTTATTTTTATATGACTGTGTGTCTGCATATTTCTCTCTCTCTCTCTCTCTCTCTCTCTCTCTCTCTCTCTCTCTCTCTCTTTCTTTCTCTATGCTCTCTTTGTGTGTCTTCTTTTTAAATAAATTTTTAAGAAATAAAAGGAAAAAAAAACTTTAAGAAACTTTTAAAAAAAAACCCAGAAAACAAAGATAGACAGGCATTAAAAAGCAAATAACAAAAAGGCAAGAAAGAAAGCAAAGAAAAAGGAACAAACATCAGGAAAGAAAGAAAGAAAGAAAGAAAGAAAGAAAGAAAGAAAGAAAGAAAGAAAGAAAGAAAGAAAGAAAGAAAGAAAGAAAGAAAGAAAGAAAGAAAGAAAGAAAGAAAGAAAGAAAGAAAGAAAGAAAGAAAGAAAGAAAAAACAAAAAAGACTGGCAGGGAGATAAACTAACAGACGGCAGCACATAGGGAGATAAACTAACAGACGGCAGCACATACAATAAACATTTGCAGACACATTTCCCAAACAGCTGGTGTGTACGTACATACAGTCAGATTAACCCAGCGCTGAGTTGTGATCCTGTAGCAGCAACGTTACACACAGTTTGTACCTCCTGTGTCTGTGTGTGTGTGTGTGTGTGTGTGTGTGTGTGTGTGGCAACACGGATGTGGGAGAGACCCTTAAAGCAGGGACTGATGTCCCACTTGAGATATAAGAACTTCAGATGACCCCTTGCTTGAAACTGTGATCGCCTCTCTCTCTCTCTCTCTCTCTCTATATATATATATATATATATATATATATATATATATATATATATATATATATATATATGACTGTGTGATGCTAGTGGGTGTTTTGAATTGTTCCGACTGTAAGTCAAATGTGAAATAATTTTTGTTTAAAAAAAGGGGGGGGGAGGTAGAAGTTGCCGCGTGTTTATCACATATATAAAAGATTAAATCATAGGGTGCAGGATGTGGCGGGTTATCTCCAGATGTGTGAATCTGACGCGGGACATCTTGCTAGAGATCGAGAAGTTTTCCGGAGGGTTGTTGTGGGAGCAACGTTCTGCAAGGGACATGTTACTGACTGACTGACTATTACTACAGTTTAACGTGTGTATTAATTGCTAGTTTCATTTTTATTCGCAAACCTAAATCATATCTATTACAGTGATATCAGTACGGTACAACGTGTGTATCAAATTTTATTTTTCTATTTTATTCAAAAGCCTCAATAATACCTTTTACAGTGGTATTACTACGGTACCACGTGTGTATCAAATATGTACATACTTATATATTTTCCACAAGACTATTTTATATTTTTGTTACAGTGACTAGTTTTCTAGCTCAGTGGTTCTATTTATTCAGTCAAAATGGCGGAGGCGCTAGTTGGAAAATGGAACTTTCTGTCAGGGGACAACGTAGACGCCTACATGGACGCATTAGGTGAGTGGTTCTGTTCCTCGAGTCATCATCTTGTTAAAAAAAAAAAAAAAAAAAGAGTATAAAAAAACATCCAGACAGTGGTTGGTTGTTAGTGATTCCTGTTATGGCCCGAGTTCAAGCCTATGTGAAGGCTGGTTTTTTTTTCTGTTCACGTGGACTTCTAGTAGTTTTCCCCGGCCTCTTGGTAGTGAGATCGGACGCCTGTGTGTATTGTTGCGTACGTAAAAAATTCTTTACCAGTTAAAAATCGAAAATAGTAGCCCAACTGCGTTGCCCATACAAAATTGTGAGTTACAAATCTGCACAAAATATTTCAGGATTCTCGCCGGAACTCCGGAGCCCGTGCACTGTGCTGAGCTACTTTGGACTAACTTGAGTTAGAAGTAGAACGGAGCACTTATTGGTTACTACCCGTGTGCCACGATGCTGATCCGTTGTTCAAACCTCAAACCTCACTGTTATGGCTTGGCGCGCTATTTGCATCCCAATATATTGCTGAAAGGAGAAGGAGAAAGAGGTCGACGAGGAAAAGAAGAAACAGATCCCTCCAGGAACACGAGTCAGGGCCGAGAGTAGCTTCTCTCAAGCTAGTGTTTAGGCAGAACCGTGAACGAGGACGTGAATAAGCTACTCGGCGATCTTTGACACTCGGTGCCATAGCCGAGCCATTGGAAGGATGGCGACAGAGTTGGTTGACTGATGTGAGAAGCTGGCTTCGTCCAAGCTAACATGATCAAAGGCAGCCTTGTGAAGAGCGTGGCGTTTAGTTTGCGGGGGTTAGCAACGAATAAAACATTGACTCAAAAACACTTACAGCATCAACGAGACCTATTCCATAACTTCATTGACTTGACGAAGGCATTTGATCGTCTGTGGCATGCTGGGCTCTGGCAAATAATGAGACATTTCAACTTTGATGAGAACATCATAGACACCATTGAAGCACTTTATACAGAAGCAAACAGTGCAGTATTCATTCAAAATGATATGGGCATCATCATCATCATAATAATCATGTGCCCTGCCAACTGTTGTAGGCGCTCATGCATCTCCACAGATCACGATCCCTGGTTGCCTGGAATCTAAATGATATTCCTCCATGCCATCGTTTCAGCCCATACAGCATCATCTCTCTTGGTCTGCCTCTACCCCTTGCTCCAGTGATTTTTCCAGTTTTCACGATGTTCTCCGATGTCTCTCTTCTCATTGTGTGGCCAAAGAACAGAGTCTGTCTCTTTCTTATTGTTGTATATAGAGATCTACTTTCATTAGTCTCTTTCAATCAATGGTTGTTAGTTACTCTGGCCGTCCAAGGTATTCGTAACATTCGTCTCAGAAACCATATCTCCGTTGCTTCTAAATTCTTCTTAATTTTTTTGGTGACATTCTAAGATTCCCTGCCATATAGCAGAACAGGTTCTATGAAGATTTTAGCACCATTTTTCTGACATTATAAGAGAGCGATTTGTTGCACAAGATATTGTTCATTTTCTTAAATGCAGCAGCTTTCGTTTGACCTATTCTGCTTTTAATCTCTGTCACACATTTTCCATCTGATCACATGATTGTTCCCAGATATTTGCATTTATTTACTTAAATTTATTGACTATTTGATATAAGCACATTTTTCAAAACCAGTGTGGGGTTGGGACAAGGTTGTATACTATTCCTTGTCCTGTTCAATTTGCATTTGTAGAAACAGTAGAAACTCATGAAAGATGACATTTTTTGTGTGCTAATGCTTCCATGTATACACCTCTCAACTCGAAAGGGGTCAAGGGTTATGTTATGTTATGTTTTTAGCAACAAATATCAATTAGCAAGTGTCAGCAGCCATAACCATGTGGTGTTTTGTCTGTAAGAGGTCGCAAACACAGCAGACGAGATCCCAGGGCTCGGGAGTCATGACCTGTCTTGGCCCGCTCCCGAAAGTGATTTAGTCGGATGGGGTCGAAACATTTTTTAAAGGGGACATTATGTTATTTTATGTTATCACAATCGAAGTCACTGCACCTCGGGCATTCCCATGCGTGTTTATTCCTCCGATGCAGCAGCCACTAAAAGGTTCTTCTGCTAATTGTTCCCATGAGAGGACGGTTATAATGTCTCCTATCTCCTTATCTAAGGCGACATAGACGTGCGTCACCGTGCTTTACTCCCTTTCCCACTAGCTCCTTTACGTCAGCATTTCCAAGTGTGTAGATCCAGGTGAGGGAGGTTAAGTGCGATTTTCGAATGCTTTCTACGCATTCAGAGCGCATACTGTCTGTTGCTATCTTCTAAAACATGTTCAAGGAGCCTGACACAATTACTACGTGTGTGGCTCTTTGCTCAGATGCCCATGCTAGGGTTCTATAAGCAGCGGCTATCTCCGTGGTCATGCTTGACATATTTGAAGAAGAACCTCTACTGATGATATGTAGACTGAGGTTGTGTTTGCCCCCACCGTGTAGTACTTTCTTCTTCTAGCTTTCTCTACTATGTCTCTCTCCTATGACCCTACAGGTGTGTCGGAGCAGCTGCGGGAACTAGCACGAAACATTAAGCCGACCATCGAGATATCCAAAGATGGTGACACCTGGACGATTAAAACTATAGCTGGAGACAAGGTAAGACCGCCAGGATTCATGATGAAAGAGATATGTATTGACAGATAAAAGGGCCCTTTCAGTAAGGACTTCTTTCCATGACTTCGGACGTATTTCAATAGAGAGATAGACTTATAGTTTACAGACCAGTTGGAACTTGGTGGTTGATATACTCAACCACACCACACGTCAGCCGCCTTAACTTCTAAGGAATTTACCTCTGTGTGTGTGTGTGTGTTTGTGAGTGCATGCGTTCTTCTCTCTTTCTTCTTCGCCTTCCAGTAACTATACGGACGTCTTTTAATCTATCTATCTATCTATCTATCTATCTATCTATCTATCTATCTATCTATCTATCTATCTATCTATCTATCTATCTATCTATCTATCTATCTATCTATCTATCTATCTATCTATCTATCTATCTATCTATCTATCTATCTATCTATCTATCTATCTATCTATCTATCTATCTATCTATCTATCTATCTATCTATCTATCTATCTATCTATCTATCTATCTATCTATCTATCTATCTATCTATCTATCTATCTATCTATCTATCTATCTATCTATCTATCTATCTATCTATCTATCTATCTATCTATCTATCTATCTATCTATCTATCTATCTATCTATCTATCTATCTATCTATCTATCTATCTATCTATCTATCTATCTATCTATCTATCTATCTATCTATCTATCTATCTATCTATCTATCTATCTATCTATCTATCTATCTATCTATCTATCTATCTATCTATCTATCTATCTATCTATCTATCTATCTATCTATCTATCTATCTATCTATCTATCTATCTATCTATCTGTCTGTCTGTCTATCTGTCTGTCTGTCTATCTGTCTGTCTGTCTATCTGTCTGTCTGTCTGTCTATCTGTCTGTCTATCTGTCTATCTATCTATCTATCTATCTATCTATCTATCTATCTATCTATCTATCTATCTATCTATCTATCTATCTATCTATCTATCTATCTATCTATCTATCTATCTATCTATCTATCTATCTATCTGTCTGTCTGTCTATCTATCTGTCTGTCTGTCTATCTGTCTGTCTGTCTGTCTGTCTGTCTGTCTGTCTGTCTGTCTGTCTGTCTGTCTGTCTGTCTGTCTGTCTGTCTATCTGTCTGTCTATCTATCTATCTATCTATCTATCTATCTATCTATCTATCTATCTATCTATCTATCTATCTATCTATCTATCTATCTATCTATCTATCTATCTATCTATCTATCTATCTATCTATCTATCTATCTATCTATCTATCTATCTATCTATCTATCTATCTATCTATCTATCTATCTATCTATCTATCTATCTATCTATCTATCTATCTATCTATCTATCTATCTATCTATCTATCTATCTATCTATATCTATCTATATCTATCTATCTATCTATCTATCTATCTATCTATCTATCTATCTATCTATCTATCTATCTATTTATCTATCTATCTATCTATCTATCTATCTATCTATCTATCTATCTGTCTGTCTGTCTATCTATCTGTCTGTCTGTCTGTCTGTCTGTCTGTCTGTCTGTCTGTCTGTCTGTCTGTCTGTCTGTCTGTCCGTCTGTGTATCTATCTATCAATCTGTGTGTCTGTCTGTCCGTCTGTGTATCTATCTATCAATCTGTGTGTCTGTCTGTCTCTCTCTCGCTTTCTCTTTCTCTCTCTCTCGCTTGCTCTATCTCTCGCTTTATGTCTCTCTCTCTCTTGCTCTCTCGTTCTCTCTCCCTTTCTCTCTCTCTCTCCCTTCCTCTCTCTCTCTCACTCTCTCTCTCTTTCGTTCTCTCTTCTTCCCCCCCCCCCCTCTCTCTCTCTCTCTCTCTCTCTCTCTCTCTTGCTCAGACGCAAGCAATTCACAGTAATAGAAAAAAAAATGCTGACCTGTTGACAGATATCTGACACCTAACATTTACCGTCCCAGACATTTCCGGGGCAAGCACTTACTCGCGCCTTCCCATAGCCACACAGGCGGGGATTTTCTCCCATCTACCTGCTCTCTCATGTTAGAAGTTTAGGTCGGATTTCACGGACGCTTAAAAGTAACTGCGTGTTATTTACATCAGGGCTCTGAAACCTTTCTACATATCAAAGCAATGTTTCCGCGTTGTAAACTTAAAAAAGACACAAACAATAGATTGCACAATTCATTGCCTGGCATATTTCGCTGTATCACGTCAGGTGCATACTACAGTAACAATTACATAATTGAAGCAAATAAGTGATAACTAAATAAATAACTTATCTGCTTGATTTATGTAATTGTCACTGTAGTATGCACCTGAAGAGATACCGCGAAATATGCCAGGCAATGAATTGTGGAATCTGTTGTTTGTGCTTTCTACATATGCTGACAGGAATCGTTATTATCGTCACCATCAAGTGGCATGGGCGATCATGCCTCTCCACATTAAGCGATATTTAACAGTATGAATGAGTGCGTGTGTTGACATTCCTCCATGCTAGGGCATAAGGCGTTGTCTTTCCCCACAGGTCTTTCCAGTAGTCACAACATATTCCAGTTTTTTTCGTCTCAAAACATGATCAAAAGATGACTGTATCTTTCTGATGTTTGTGATTCACATGTTTTCTAGACAAAGCATTACGGTCTGCTGTGCTTGTAGATTGTTGCTGGATTTGTCTTTCCACCTATGCTTCGTTAAAATAAATTTCTGTAACCTATGGTGGTGCCACGGTTTGAGATAAATCTTCTTCTTTTTCTTTGCGTTCCCCAGCTGTGAATTCTGGTGGAAAGTTCTGGTTGTTCGTCCACTTCTGGAATGCAGCTCTGTTCAAGAACCTGTGTTGTGTGTGCATCCGTTTGACAAATCTGACACATCTGTGTGCAGACAGTTGGTTCCTTGCCTCTCAGGCAGATGCACTTCGATTTCAAAGAAAGCTCCCAATTAGTCGACTCTTACGACATGCTTTTGGGTAAGCAGTGGGTCTATGCTTGTTTTTTTTTCTAAAATAGGCCTCTAGAACCCACACTTTGGGTTTGAGATAAATTGTGTCCCTATTTTTAGCTATGAATTTCAGGCTTCAAGATAGATATGCCTACTAAGACAACTTTTTTTTTTCTTTTCCGGGGGGAGGGGGGGGGGGGGGTGCCTTGTTGGTTGCGTTCTTAGCGAGGCGCACATGCTATTTGGAGGCGACAGGTTCGAATTCCGGTATGGTAACTAAAGCTTGCGGTTTTTTTTTGGGGGGGGAGGGGGTGTTGGGGGAGAGGTGTGGGGGGGGGGGGGCTAGTGTGTTCTTCTATCTTTAAGCTTCTTTCTGTGAATGCCGATCAATACAGTGTCTCTTTGTTAATTAAATGTATGATGTTTGTGATAAGTTATCTTCGAGCATGTCACCCTTCAATGCAAACAGAAAGCAGCTTCACCAGGGATGATATCGTCAATGCTGTACTAGATAGATTATTGTGTGTGTGTGTGTGTGTGTGTGTGTTAGTATCTTTCTTTGTGTGTGTGGGGAGGGGGGGGGAGGTGGGGTTGGGCAGTGTTTGCTGTATCTCTGACGCTGACTACCGGTGTCTGTGGCCTAGATGTAGCGGACGCGCTTCGTAATGCCGTGGTGACGGGTTCGATCCTAGATGCGGACAGTTTGTCATGGTTTCGGCAGCACTACCGAGAGCTGACCGTTGAGAAGCAATGGCAAACTACTGAACGTAAAATTTGCCTAGAAAGACCACAATAGCCACAGAAATGATGAGGTTACAATGTCCTCTAATAGAAGTCTAAACCCGGTTCCCTAGCGTAGTTGGCTAAACCGGATTGCGCGGTGACCGGGTGACGAACTCCTCGTGGTCCGGGTTCACTTCCGGGGGTAGGCAGGAAAGCCACATTTCTCCCAGATTTACGGTATTTACAATGGAATCAAGGCCGAAAGGTTGCGATATCCATAATACCGAGCCTAAGGGTTAACAACTCATGGCTTCCGGATACTAAAACAAACAAACGATAGAAGTCTAAGGCAAAAAGCAAAATGTCGCGTTAATCCGTACAGTAGTTTTCGAGAAGGTGTGACGTCATCTGTTTTGAAACGCACTGTAGTCGCTCGCCCCAAACCTCGCCATGATTGTCAATTGTCAACTTTGTCATTTCAGACGGCAGAGACAAAGTTTACCGGGGAGCAAGAAGTGGACACAGTCAGTCTCATCGGACAACAGGTCAAGGTAAACAAAGAGATGTTATCCAAGAAGAAGAAGAATAATAATAATAAGAAGAAGAAGAAGAAGAAGAAGAAGAAGAAGAAGAAGAAGAAGAAGAAGAAGAAGAAGAAGAAGAAGAAGAACAACAAGAACAAGAACAAGAACAAGAACAAGAACAAGAAGAACAAGAACAAGAAGAAAACGAAGAAGAAGAAGGAGGAGGAGGAGGAGGAGAAGAAGAAGAAGAAGAAGAAGAAGAAGAAGAAGAAGAAGAAGAAGAAGAAGAAGAAGAAGAAGAAGAAGAAGAAGAAGAAGAAGAAGAAGAAGAAGAAGAAGAAGAAGAAGAAGAAGAAGAAGAAGAAGAAGAAGAAGAAGAAGAAGAAGAAGAAGAAGAAGAAGAAGAAGAAGAAGAAAAAAAAGAAGAAGAAGAAGAAGAAGAAGAAGAAGAAAAAGAAGAAGAAGAAGAAGAAGAAGAAGAAGAAGAAGAAGAAGAAGAAGAAGAAGAAGAAGAAGAAGAAGAAGAAGAAGAAGAAGAAGAAGAAAAAGAACAAGAAAAAGAACAAGAACAAGAACAAGAAGAAGAAGCAGAAGAGGAAAAAGCAGCTTGGATGTGTCAGTGATTTCTCAGCTACAGTTATTTAGGAAAAAAAGTCAGCAATTGTTTTTCTAGTATCTATATTGCTATTCATCAACCTTAAGGTATCGGGAGGAAGGAAGTTGGCTAGGAGGATGAAGAAGAAAGAACTTTAAGCAGCAGCAGAAGAAGAAAAACAGGAAGAGGAAGGAAGGAAGGAAGGAAGGAAGGAAGGAAGGAAGGAAGGAAAGAAGGAAGGAAGGAAGGAAGGAAGGAAGGAAGGAAGGAAGGAAGGAAGGAAGGAAGGAAGGAAGGAAGGAAGGAAGGAAGGAAGGAAGGAAGGAAGGAAGGAAGGAAGGAAGGAAGGAAGGAAGGAAGGAAGGAAGGAAGGAAGGAAGGAAGGAAGGAAGGAAGGAAGGAAGGAAGGAAGGAAGGAAGGAAGGAAGGAAGGAAGGAAGGAAGGAAAGAAAGAAAGAAAGAAAGAAAGAAAGAAAGAAAGAAAGAAAGAAAGAAAGAAAGAAAGAAAGAAAGAAAGAAAGAAAGAAAGAAAGAAAGAAAGAAAGAAAGAAAGAAAGAAAGAAAGAAAGAAAGAAAGAAAGAAAGAAAGAAAGAAAGAAAGAAAGAAAGAAAGAAAGAAAGAAAGAAAGAAAGAAAGAAAGAAAGAAAGAAAGAAAGTCAAAGGGAAGAAGGAGAGAAAGAATAGGGGAAGAAGAAAGAAGAAAGATACAAGAAAAGAAAGAAGAAGGATGAAGGAAAAATTAAGAAGGAAGAAAGCATAGTAGAAATGGCAATATCGTTAATTTTAAACTGTTATAATAGTATAATGTGAATTTATAGCTATTTTATTGTCGTAAAACTGTAAATTTCAAATTATTTGTATTCTTTCAGTGTACATTTTAAACCATTATTTTGCTATACTGTAAATTCCAAACTGTTGTATTATTGTCTTTTTTCCGTACAATTCTAAACTAACACATATAATAGTGCAAATGTAAAAAACGTTATTATGTTATTCATTTCTAAATTTTATATTGTTATATTGTAAATTTTCAACTATTTTTATTTCCTAGTATTTAAGACTTTTGTATTATTATATCGCAAACAATCTGTTATGTCACTATATTGTACATTTTATAGTATTACATTGTACAATTTGACCTGCTGTATTATTATATTGTAAATAGTGATCTGCCATTTGTTTTGCTGTAAATTTTGCACCAGTGTATTTATTTCATCTGTATTTTAAACTGTTGTATCGTAAATTTTAAACCGTTAGGATGTTATAATATTGTAAATTTTAAACTGTTATAATGTTATAATATTATACATTTTGAACTGTTATATTATTTTGTTGTTAATTTTCAATTGCTATCTTATTGTATTGTAATCTTTGAATATGTTATATGATTATCTTGTAAATTTTAAACTGTTAGCATTTTTTGAAATTTTAAGCAGTCCAATTGTAATTTGAAACTGTTATGTTATTATATTTATGAAATTTAAGACTGTTACATGATTAAACTGGTATATTTTGTTTTGAAAATTGTTACCTGTTAGATGATTATATTGTCAATTTAAAACCTTTTTCTTTATTCTTTTGAATTTTCCGCCATCTGTTGTCAGTTGTAACTATTGACACTATACTTGTTTGTCTTTTACTTTTCTTTCTCCTCACTTTTATCGTTTTCTTTAGTAGTTTAAAAACTTGTTTCACTTGTGTTAATTTTCTTTCTTTTCAGGCCAAGTTGAAAATAGACGGGAATAAAATGATTGAAACCCAGAAAGTTGGGGATCTGGAGATTGTGATTGAAAGAACTGTCATAGATGGAATCTATACTGCGGTATGTCAGCTCACCCTATCCTTATATTAGATGTTTTCATGCAAGCATGATTTAAAAGGTACCAGGTAGTTAGCATCCTTTGGATATTTTCTGCCCGGTTATGCCGGTGTGTTGCGAAATGAGCAGGCAGATAGACTGGCCGGTTCTGACCACTTTCTGGTGAACTGATGTATGACATGCTGGATGTTGTAAGGGTATTTTGGCAACAAGTGAACAGTGCCAAGGAACAGAGAGATCATTACGGTCTGAGGTGAATGACACTGCTAGGAGTTACAAGGGGACCTGGCTGACGCTCGACACTCAGGGGAGAGGCGAGACGGATATACAATCAGACAGTTGCTGGTACCATCGCAGTTTTAACTCTTCGCTTGCTCCTGAGTGTCCCGAGTGCTTTAATGTCGATTCTTAATTCAACATTCTGACGTTTTCGTGGATGATATAACATAACATTAACCTTGACCCGTTGGAGTCGTGAAGATCTATGGAGAGAAGCACTAATACAAACACTGTCAAGGAATTAAAAGAGTTAACTACGATATTGTCAGGCTAGAAGACAACAGGTTACAGAAGACCAACAGAGACTGCGAAGAAACATCATTATGGAAGGTTAAACCATAGGCTTGACAAACATCCAAAACCTAAAGCAGGCGGCAATGAACCACCAGCCATGGAGAGCTATGACCTTTGCCCTATGCGCTGCCCTAGGCTCAAGAGAGAAGACGAAAAAAAAATGGCACTGTTATTGTAAATGTTATCACACTTCTAAGGTTTCCATTGTGGTTTCACTTGTAGATTTTCTTTCATTCCGTCCACAGAAAATGCGAACCAAGGGAGTCGAGGCTGTACTGCAGTTCATAAAGGCTTAGATCACTTGTACCCTTATTGAATGTTGCTTTCACTGCAGCCATGACGTTTTACAGAATTATGGAAAGAAACATTTTGTTATGGTCAAATACATGTGACGTTGCTTGTCATGTCTGTCTCCAGGGTTCCGTCTTGTATACTGTCAATCGTATAGTCGATGTCATGTTGTGAAGGTCATCACCTGAGTTAGCAATTTTCTGTCTCCTGTACTGTCAATTATATAGTCTATGTTGTGTCGTGTTAGTCGTCGTCTGAGTTCCCAATTTTATGTCTCGTGAACTGACAATCGTATAGTGTATGTCGTGTTGTGTTGGTCGCCGTCTGAGTTCCCAATTTTTTTGCTTGTGTACTGGCAATTGTATAGTTTATGTAGTGTCGTGTTGGTGGTCGCCTGAGTTTCCAATCTTGTCTCGTGTACTTCAATCCTATATTCTATGCCGTGTCGTGTTAGTAGTTGCCTGAGTTCCCAATATTCTGTCTCGTTTACTGTGAAGCGTATAGTCTATGTCGTGTCGTGTCGAGTTGGTAGTCGCCTGAGTTCCTAGTCTTCTGTACCGTGTACAGTCTATGTTGTGTTGGTCATCGATAAAGTTCCAAGTCTTCTCTTCCGTGTACAGTCAATCGTGTAGTCTTTGCTGTGTTGTGTTGGTAGTCGCCTGAGTTCCTAATCTTCTCTACCGTGTACTGTCAATCATATAGTTTATGTCGTGCCGTGTTGGTGGTCGCCTGAATTCCCAATCGTCTCTACCGTGTACTCATCATCATGTAACAGGTACTTTGCAGAACTGGTCTGCCTGAAAGACACTCTCGTCTGCTCTCCCTCCTCCTGCATTTTGCTACCTAGGAGTCACTAACATCCTGTCTCAATCCTCGTGATGATCTGCCTCTATTCCTCCTTGCTGGCATATTGCTTTCTTCTATTATTGTTTCTAATCCTCCTTAGCACTTGATATGACCAAACTTTTTGAGTTTCCGAGACAAGATGCTGTTTACTAGGCAATCTTTTTTGACTTTTAGACGTTCAAGGATATCTGTATTTTTTTTTTTTTTTAAATTTTAGTCCATGGTATTTTGAGAATCTTTCTTTGGCATTTCAGCTCAAACACTCATGTGTTCTTCTACGATGACTGTTAGATTGTCCGACACCGAATTGCTTTGTTTCTGCTGGGAAATGCACGATCTCTTAACTGCGACTTTGATTTCTGAGCTGGTGCCTTACCATAGACTTTGTATCTTGTTTAATGTTTGCATCGCTATGACAATCCTCCATCATATCTCTGTTTAACAGTCTCTACTACCGTTTATTATAGAACCCCAATGTTCAAAGATGATAACATTTTCAGTATCTTCATCATTTATTGTTATTATTTATTGTCATTATTTATTTATTTATTTATTTATTTATTTATTTATTTATTTATTTATTTATTTATTTATTTATTTATTTGTTGCATGACAGACAGTTTTGTGTGTGGACATTTTTTTTTAACTTTAAATTCAAGAACAAGTTTTGATCTTCACCGTATTTTTGGACAACCATGACTAAATAAGCAGATAGGTTTTTATTTGTCAGTTTCGCTATTGTTGTTTATCTTGAAATTCAGTGACACAAAATATGTCCCCGTTGCTGTTAATAAAGGAGTTTAGTGACATTCTTGATTTCTTTATTGTTAGTAATTAGGAGCTTATGCATTGAAGTTTGTGACATTGACAGTTTCTTTTTTGTCAATTTTTTTAATTGTCATAACCAAGTAGTTAGGTAAGATCAGCAGTAGTATAGCAGTTAGACGCTCGCCTTCGGATCGAAAGGTAGTGAGTTCGTGTCCTGACGGCGCCTTACTTTATAGAAAAAAATGACTTCAGCTCTAGGTCGTCTCAGTCTTGAGTGGGTACCAGGCAGAGACTTGGAAAGTAAAGGCAGTGGAAAGCTAAATACATCCCACACTCAATTCCGATTTAGCTATAAAATATAGAGCCAACCCTACATGCCTGAAAGCTTGGAAAATTGTCATTAACATGTAGTAATGTGACATTGACAATTTGCTTTGTAACTTAATTATGGTGTCAGCATTACAGCTTTTCAACGATGTCAGTTTGACAATTAGTTTTGTATTTGTGTGTGTGTGTGTGTGTGTGTATACGCGCCCGTCTGTGTGTGTATGTTGTTATTGTTGTTATTGTTGTTGCTGTTGTTGTTGTTGTCTTTTTTTGGGGGTCATCTGACATTATCTCATTATGCCCCAGCCATTTCAACCTATCATCTTTCGCGATGCCTAATTATCTCTGGTATTTAATTTTTTAATCATAATATATGTGTGTATAAAAATAAATATATGTGTGTGTGTGTCCGTGTTCTCATTGTCCTTTATCCTTCTGGGTCCGTAGTGTTTTAAGTCATGTCCGGACTCACAGACAATCACTTATAGTTTCATGATAGCGTGACGAATGAAAAAAAGAATTTTCCTCGTCACTTGTGATAGACGAACAACATACACATACATAAACACACACTCATACACACACACACAAACATATATATATATATATTCACACATTTATAGATCATTGAAATGACCAACACAGTAATACAACGGAAGACATAACCTTTTCCTGCACACGCTTTCTCGTGTCTCAGTGAGCATGCTAAGGAAAGATAAAGAAGAGCTGGGTCCTTAGATATTGGATGCAGTCTCTAAAGTTGTCTGGGCCAACAGATTTTATATTTGTGCAAGGGCTCGTAGGCCTGCAAGGAAAAGGAGCAAGCTGGATGGCTTGCAGGTAAAGCTACTGTGGAAAGCGGACAAGCCATGGAGTAGGCAGATATTCTAAAGAATTGAACTTTGCCAGAATTAAGTGATGGCTGCGAATCTGCAACCATGACCAGACTGCAAGAATACCATGTTAAAGTCGGTGTGGCCAGACAAGAGCATTATGCAGGAAGCCAAAGAAAAATAAAAAACCAATATAGGACAAACACTGTTCTTTGGCCACGTAATGAGAAGAGAGATATTAGAGAACATTGCGACAACTGGATAGATCAGTGGAAAAATGGGTAAAGGCAGAACAAGAGAGATAATGCTTGATGGGCTGAAACGATGGCATACAGGGATATCATAAAAAGAGATGTCTCATGCAAACATGGGTAGTAGTCTGTAGAGATGCATGAGCGCCTACGCCAGTTGGCAGGTCACGTGTTGATGATAGGACTGGTCTCGTCAGCCGCTACACGCTGCGATGTTTAGTAGGGAGGTTATCCAAGCACTTGTGGACCGAATGGTTAGATGTTCAATGAGGATAATCTGTCAGGTGACTATGTATATTTTGTCTTTGTGCCTTTCTATATATCCACACAACTGAATCAGCAGTCATAAACTGATCCCATACCTGGTCGTCTTGACTCGAAGACACAAACTATATCTACCAAAGTCCCATTAGGAAAGGAGGGTGGTGGGGGGGGAGTGGGGGGGGGGGGGCGCTGCATGGTCTCAAGCCATGGCGTCCTCCTCGAGTGCTTGAGTTCCAGGGTTTAGGCCCAGATAAAGGTTGGGATTGTTTAACGTAGACATTTTCCTTGGGATCAGGGTAGTAAGATCAGACGCCCCTGTGTATTATTGCACAGGTAATAAATCCCTTGGAGTTACAAATCTACCTTAAGTATTTTAGGATCCTCGCCGGTGCTACGGAATTCGTGCACTGCGCTGAGATTCTTCAGACTCAGGCTTGAGTTAGAAGTAGAATGGAGCACTTATGGGTTACCCCTTATGCCATAATGTTGATCCGTCATCTTAACCTATACCTAAACCCAAGTCACATCGTTTATCTCCCGTCCACACGTTTCAAACAACCAAGAGCCACACACAACTACTTGACTAACATGAGATATTCATTACAGTTGAAAACTGATCAATGCTATATAAGCATCTGTTGCACTCGGAGGTGTCAACGAATGGGGGGATGGGGGAGCGGGGTGAGTGTTTAGCCACTTTGATCCCTTCACACTCTCAGACTCGTTTTTGTGAATCCCTTGATGTTATCCTCCCACTCGTAGTGTTATCTACCTCTTGCTTTCTTGCCTTCGACCATACCCTCCAGTAGAGTTTTCAAAACCTATAACGTCTTTGATTGTGGTATTGCACTTGTCTCTCCCTCCCCTCTCTCTCTCCTCTCTCTCTCTCTCTCTCTCTCTCTCTCTCGGAAATCTCTTTTAATTCTCTCTCTCTCCTCTCAGAACCGCTGTCTCTCTCTCTCTCTCTCATTCTCCCCATCTCAGGACAGATTCTCTTTCTCACTTTTTTAAAATCTCTTTAAATACTTCTCCTTTCATTCGAAGTCTTTCTAGAACCGCTGTGTTCTCACAAACGATATCAAAGACAATCATGTACGCAGAAATGCTCTACCCGACAGACCTACCGACATCCATATATAGACAGACAGATATACAACACGCCACAGGCGGACAACCATAAGAATGGAATCATGTAGTCAGAAAGACATACGGATTTATCATAGTTAGATACCTTCTAGATGTCTCGGTTTTCTTAGAGGTCACATGCGGTACACTGAGGCGGAAAGATTCTTGTTGTTCGCCCAGTTCTAGACATTGGTCTAGTTTCAGAACTTAAGTGTCGGTAGTCCTTTTTAAAGATGTAGTTTATTTCTTAGCGGTATTTTGGTTCCTTCTCTTACAGGCAGATGCACTACTAACATTCTAAGGAAACGCACATATTTAGTTGCCTTCTACGACATGCTTGCTAGGGTGCAGTGCTTCCCCAAAATGAGGTTTTGACACTTACACAGGGAATGTGTTAGACAAACACCTTATGTTCTTGTTAGAATTAGACAGGTCATTTATTAGGCAAATATCTTATTCATAGCTCCACACACACACACACACACACACACACACACACACACACACACACACACACACACACACGTGTGAAGACAGACAGACAGACAGACAGACAGGTAGACAGATGAAAAAATACAAGTAACAAATGTT